ATCAACATATCCAATGGCTGAATAACACAAGTACAAATTTTGGGAAGCTATGCAAAACAGTAGTGGCATAGAGTTTGTTTTGCTGGGCTCTAAAAAATGAAATAACACTTTATCACAGTATTTTTTATAAATTCTTTGAGAGCAGGGGCATCTTTGCAACCTCCTTGTGTCTAGATATGAGGTCCTCAAATTTTTGTTGATATGACTATAAATTTTCATCTCAGTGAAGTCATCTGATGTCATGGCATCTGGAAGCTAAGCTGCAGGACGCAGACAAATTAATGCTAACAATAATCTAACTGAAAAACCAATGAGACCCAATCGATGCTAGAATTTTTTCAAATTATTCCTTTGTAGATCAGGAAGTGATTTAACATAGGGAAAAGTGAATTAATATAACAAAGGGAAAATTTAACATTGGAAAAAACAATATAACAAATAGTTTAATTGTTGATGTATATTTATGAATCATATTCAGACCAGCCCTACAAACCAAGATAACAAACGGAATCTTAAGAATAAGCTCTGTTGGATATACATCCTGAATAATACTAACTTCTTCAAACATTATGTTTTTTTGAAAAATTGCTTCGGCCCTGGCAGGTGTGGCTCAGTTGGTTAGAGCATCATCCTATGCACCACAAGGTTGTGGGTTCAATCTCTGGTTGGGACATGTTCGGAAGGCAACCAATCGATGTTTCTTTCTCACATAGGTGTTTCTTTCTCTCCCTTCCTCCCTCTCTAAAATTCCTAACAAAAAAATTGCTATATTTTTGGTTTTCAATAGCCAGTCACTCACATGAATACAGAAAACTGAATTATGCAGCTACGTCATCCAAACTGACAGGTGGGTTTAGCATTTTTGTTACATACAGTGTCATGTGAGGGGCACTGGAAAATTTCTTACATGACATTACACTGACCTTAAAGCGTAAATGCTGCAAATAAAGTATTAGTGTTTTTATATGAACCGTGGGGTGGCCTGGAAAGGCAGCGCATTCTATTGCAGTGGATACCTGATGGACTACTGAACTTTTGCTAAAGCACAGACATGATTCTGGCACCTACCACTGTCACAGTATGGACATAATTTTTTTTTAAGTTACAGTAACAATAAGAACGACATCTTGCAGTGGTATGTCTTCAGTATTGTTTATACAAAAACATAAAATTTAGAGGTAGTTGTAGATTTTTCCTAATTTAACTCAGATTATGTGTATTTATGACGCATATTCAGAGCAGCCCTACTAATCAAGATACCAATTTGGCTATGTGTCTACCAAGCCATTCTTCAGAAAACAGTTTTCTAAATCTGTCACAATGTTCCTATTTGGTTTCAGTTATCAAAGCAAAAATAAATAAACAATCGACATTCTCCATTTAACTGTGTTCTTCTAAGTGAAAAAGCAATAGGATTAAACAGGAGAGAGAGTTCCATTTTAGTACCTCAATAAACACCAACAGAAATTTGAAATGTCCTATTTCTGTTTTCTCAGTGCATACTGACCGCCATTCTTCCTCGTGAGAAACTTACTTTGTTGTCTAAAACATATCAAGAATTTTTTAAAAATATGTCAATGCAAAAATAAGATGCACAATCCCATTTTAAGTGTTCTTTACAGAAACCTTTCCTTAAATATGACGTATACTAGGCAAAAATATCCTTAGTTTTAAAAAGTTATTTTATAATAGGCTGTCCTGTGCACTTGCAGACCAGTTATAGAATAAGGACAACGGGAATGTCTTGTAAAGAGAATTGGGAGAAAGAGACCCGAGGTTCAAAATGAACGGAAGAAGAGAAACTCGAGGACAGGGTGTGCCACCGTGAAAGATAACTCAGCATCCCTGGAGGGCTGGGAAGACGCTGTGTCCCCATATCTGGCTCAGATCACTGGAAACTATGAGTTGGAACTAAGAAAGGTAAACAGAAAAACTCCAGAGTTAAATGATAGACAGTACCACTTCCTTATAATTGATTTGTCTTAATCTCAACATAAACAAAGATAACTCACCTTCCTTTCAAAGTTATTGAAAGGATTAAAGATAATAAACAATATGCATATGTTGAAATGTCTGAAGAAATATTTACCAAAAATGTTAACAGTGGTTATTTTTGGCTAGCAGATATACAAGTGTGTGTGTATGTATTTATGTGTATCTATTTCATAATTTTCATACAATTGGTAACTATTTCTTGTATAACTGATGCATATAAGTTACTTAGCATAGTGCTGGCGCACATACTGGATCAAAAATGGTGCCTATCATCATTAGTACAAAAAACAAAGCAAGATGTCTTCCGTCCTTTCTTCTTGTTTGTGGATGTCTCCTTATGGAGGAAAAGTCATGAAACGAAGTTGATGCCACCACACCAAATCCATGACAGACTTTCCCGTCCTGAGCCAAAGGAAAGGTCTTTCTGTGCTTGTGACTTACTGTTGGGAAGAGCTGCCTAGCCATGGGAAAGCTCAATGAACGTGATGATTTAGCAAAGCAAATCAAAATAAAATCTGTCCTGGTCGTACAATTAATTAACGCATAAAACACCACCTACCTTCCTAGCTAATTGAATTAGGAGGTTACCTTGAAGAACAAATACTCCCCAATAGAATGCCCAGATCCAACAAAGCAATTAAGATTTGGATTTTTTATGCATTAATGATTATACAGGATTGGAATGTAGCTCAGCTTTACTGTGGCCCTAATGTCTAAGTTGATTTATATTTTAAGTATCTTAACTAATAATTCACTACAGGCTTCAAGACCTGAAAATAAAGATTTTGGAAAAACTACCACAAAGAGCTGTTTAACACAAATTATGATTATAATTGCAGGATATTGCAGATAAATGCATTTATAATTACTATAGAATAAACTTTGTACATTTGCAAGAATGCTTTGAATTCAACTAATTTAAATTAGTAACAAATGCTGCTACCTAAAATGAGTGTCAATATTCCTTTGATCTCAACTACAGAGTCAAGTTATCCCCTAGGGAAAAGATACTCAAGTTTAATGCTTATAAAATAAATAATTCAAGAGAGAGTTGAGCTTTGAAGAGAATGAGTTTTTTGTTGTTGTTGTCGTCTTAACTAGTGCTTCTAGATTTTTAGTAAGACGTTCCTATTCTCTACCTTCTCTTTATGCTTGATACACAATCTAATGCTTGGGAACATTTTCAAAGCTTTGGTAGTTTTAAATGTCTTCTAAATCTGATCATCAAATTTCATTTATACTGATTTCTTAGGGAACAAAATAATTCTATCCAGGTTTAAGCACAATAAAAATGAGCCATGTAACAGTCTTTTTGCCACAGTATTGGACTTTGCATATTATTTTAAAATTATATATGTTCCAAAAAGAATGGCACCGTTGTTTTTTCCTTCTACTCCCTTCCCCCACCCAATGAAAAAAAATGTTAGCTAAGCCTCTAGATTTTCATACATTGCAAAAATGAGGCAAGAAGCTAAAATTCTAATAAAGCAAAAAAAAAAAAAAGTATGTAAGTGATTTGATGTTGAGTTAATATCGACACTTTCATATTCTGGATCTGACTGAATGCAATTTTATGTAAGCAGTCAAGTGAGTGCTATCTCCTTCTGATTAACAGAGAATATGAAAAATTTTTTAAATGAAGCCATTGATTAAGTAGCCTAACAATGAGCGGTGGGGTGGGAAGGAAAAGCAGGAGTTGAGGACACAAGTGTCTAGGATGACTCTCAGTTTCCTTTTCGAGTTTTCTGAAAAACGGAATTCCTTCTCTACTTTGTGTTGCCTGAGAACCACTATGGTTTTGTAAGAGTCTGTAACAGTAATTACATTTAATCACCCACAAGTACAATTGTTTTAAGCCTATAAATACTATGTTAGTAATACTAAACTATCTCCATTGGCTTATTTGTAAAAAGAAAAATATATTATGTATTTATATTTTTATAAAGTTAACACTGAGGGTAGAGGAAAGGAAATGACAAGTGGTGTATAATCACAGTTTCTCCGGAAACAGTAAGCAAACCGGGTCTAGCTCAAGCCACCTGGTCAAGCAGTGTCTGAGGAAGAGTCATAGGAGGCGGAGACGATGAAGTTGCCACTGTTGGAGTGCCCAGCCACCGACTGGGCGGCCTGCTGGCTCAGATTGTTACAGATAAGCACCAGCTGGTTGCTCTGCGCCTCGGACAAGGTGCTGCAGCTCTGATACACACTGAAGTTGGTTTTCCTGCCGGGGATGTTGCCCTTCTCACACATGGTCTTCACCATCTTGGCCAGCTTGTTCTTGCCAAGGGCCTGGCAGTTATACCAATGCAGAGCTGCCAAGTTCACCACAGGCTTGATGGACAAGTAGAAAGGGGCATCCTCGTAGCGCATGGCAGGAGGCCGCCGCTGGGCATACTCCTTATAGTCCTGTACGGGGCATGTCTGTGGGGCGTGCTGGGTGGCATACACCCGGGAGTCTGTCCCCCCTCTCTTGGTTTTGGCATTCAGATCACCGGTGTCTTGACCCATCCACTCTAAGTATTCCAGCCCCGTTTCTGTCACCCGCAGCCGGATATCACCCCACTTCAAGGTAGATCCATGGAAGCCTGTGCAGTGCCCAAAAGCTTTTGTGTTGTTGAGCCAGACGAGGTTGAGCAGACCCTCAGGGTTATAGCGGCTTAGCAATCCCCTTTTCCGCAGAATGAGCTCATCAGCAAAGGTGAGCTTCATGGACTTGTGTGGCTTGTTTCCTTTTCCTTTGCAGCGGAGTTCAATCTGCTTCTGTTTCAGGGCCTCTTGGGAACGCTTGAATTCCTTATCCCTGGTGATACTATAGCCATACCTGTGTTCTTTCAGGTACCGTTCAAGTCCACACTGGTAATTGGCCAAGCTGTTGGGTTCATATTCGGACCCATCCTTCTGCCTGGCATCCACAAAGAAAGAGGCAAGGTAGGCATCCAACTCCTTACAAGGAATGACATAAATTTCTCTTGTTTCAGAAGGATACTTGGAGATGAGGAACTCGCGGAAATTGCGGAGCGCAGTCTGCGTGCTCCGGATGGTTTTCTCATTCTGTTCTCTGCTGAGCTCAGCTGCTCTTTCATCCTGGTCTGCAACAAAGTGGGGAGGGGAGGGATAGAGAGGGTGTTGATGAGTTCAGACAATGTACTTTCTACTCTGAAATAAAGTTTCCTTTTATAATGAAAAGGGAAAGAAGAAATCAATTTTACAGAGATCACTGATAAATGTTGTTTACATACCTGCTGCATTGTAATCGCCAACTACTATATTCACAAATGATGTACCAGACAAGGGTATGGCCCACCGCGATCAAAATGAGAATCTTGTGTCACTGGCACATAGCTTAGTGTGTGAAGGTTTGTGGAAAGGGTGAGATTAGAGGTGGCCTTCATTTTAGGTAAAATGTGAGATAGCAGTGTACAATGTATCTTACTGCAATGTGCAAGGACCCCATTAGAACTCACACATTCACTTTGAATCACATCATTTGTGAAACCAGAGGTTGTAATGGTTCCATTTTATTGAATTAAACTAAGATATATGAATTTGTTATTTAGCACATCATTAGAGACCTATGCTTAAAAATTACTAAACAGATCATTTACAGCAGGTCATTCACTTATTCTACAGCACTTCAGGGAAACAGAATTTCTATATGTAATTGCAGGGTGGTATGTAGTAAGCAATAAAAATATCTGGTATTTTGGAAAGTAATGAGGATAAAATTTCATAGCTACAAAGACAGGACAATGGAATTTGAATTAGGCTATTATGAGCAAGATGTAAGGAAGGAAGGGGTCTGTCTCCTAGATAAATTGTTTTATTTATTAGATTATTATTTATGCTCTGACACCAAGGACTGGAGGAGGTGCCTCTTTCCATTATGGATTACCCATGATTAAGTAATGCTGCTCTGGGGTAGAGGTTCTCACACTTGAGTGTGCTTGAGTCTCTAGGACACTCAATTAAAACCAGATTCCTAGGAATCTAATCTGTACTTTAACTAGCACCTCCCTGGTCAGATGAGTTCGAAACAACACATTTTGAGAAACAAAGTTCTAGTGCTTATGTCTAGTGAAGAAAACCCTACTGTATTTTACTGTGTGTGTTTTTACAATGATTAAGTTCAACAATCACTTAAATGGTTTCCTTTCAGTAAGATATTATTTAAATTTGCAATTTTAACATGAACAATAAAAACATTTTTGTCGAAATCACCACTGTTATAGCACACATGGTATGTATGGAACTCACAAAAAAAATCCTAAAAATGAAATTACACAATAGAAAACCAGGCTATTCAACTGATTGTTGAGAGGCAAACATTGAGGTTGTTTTAAAACAACATAAGCATGTAATTTCTGATTCCACAGTTGTAAGGTAAAATATTTTGTTTATCTTAATTATCTTAGATAGGAAAACTTTAATTTGTAAGGTTGCTCAGTAGAAGGAAGTATTTGCAATAACCACATACAATAATAAAAATAAATTTTCTAATAAATGAAATTTTATTCACAAAACACACTGCTTTTTGCATTAGTGTACAGATTTATAAATAAATGATCATGTTACTTTAAAATGACAGACCTAAGGTATAATTGCCAAAATCCTCATAACTCTATAAATGAAATGAATTAAAATTCACTAAACTAATGAAGATATTTTACAAGGCACATTTTTAGATCATATTTCCAAAATTCAAATATAAAAAGTATATTTTATGCTTCATTATACTTAACTTTCAGTTATGCTATTTTCTTCCATTTGAAATTGCTTACATATCAACAATAAAGATGTGTATAAAAATGTGTCTCTTTCCATCAAAAAGATGGAAGCCACAGTTACATGTAACCTTTACCATGCCGGCTTCCTTTACTGTTTACATGTAAAGCCAAAGGGCCAGCACATCTGTTTCTTTTGGCTACTTGTTCAAATATCCATCACAGCAATCCTCAAACTTCAAACAAAGGCTTTCTAAGAAATAAACATTCACAGTCAACTTTAAGGAAAAAAATGTCCAGTTCCTCAACTTTCCCATGGAATCTTTTTAAAAATGTATTTGTCTGAAAAGAAGTCTGAATTTGCACATGTTGACATCTCAAATCTACCATGCTACATACTCTGGGGTGTAACAGACTTTGAGAAGCCAAGCAAAATTTATAAACTGGTGATTAAATCCATAATGTTTCCAGTCCTCTGTCTTATACATATTCTAACACAGGTAAAATTTGCCATGAGAAACAGGGAAATTGGACCTGAATTGCAGTGTTTTGAATTCAGGATTTTTGAAAGGGTTGTTTATAGGTTAGTGAGGTTGATTCTTTTAACTGGAACTGGAATATTTTTCAGGACTACCAAATGTTAAAATTTTATTCAATTTTTTTCAGATTCAGTGTGCTTTTGATTACAAAATGCTTAACAACTATTAACAAATCATATGAAATATTGATTCTAATTATGGTTAACCCTCATCTTCATTTTATATAATATGCAATATTTTCTACCTCCTTTTTACAAAAATACATGAATTGAGACTAACATGGAAAACCTTAAGGTGTCAATTTAAAAATGAGTGAGTAGTATACAGTTTGTCAAAGTTCTTTTAAAGGGTAGGTAAATAAAAGAGTTTAAGTCTGTTGGACTTAATTAAGCAGCATTAATTAGTATCCTCTAAGTAGAAGGTATGAGTGAGCTTGGTTCTCAAGAAATGGTCACTTATTTCTTGCTGCACCATCCACAAGAGCCATAATATTTATTACTTAAACTTAGTCTAAGCTTTTCAAAAGGAGAAGCCATCCCATAAAACCTAGTACAGGTATCCCCGCCCCCCCTTTCAAAAGTCTGCATCATGCCACTTTGCTTTTGCAAAAGATCTGCATAATACTACCTGTTTTCGTTAACTGAAAGAAGTCCAAAGACAATTTTCCCTGTTGCAAAAATAGCTTTCAGTGTTGGTTTTGCAGTGAGCCGTTACAGAGGCAGCACAAACTCAGAACAGCTACAGCAGTCCCACCAAGCCTCTTCCCTGGGAACTATACTCCGCATCTCAGCATCAAGCTGCCATAGCTGTGAACTATGTGAGCATGTGCTCTGTCTCAATTTATTTTGTGTATCCTTTAGCAAGATGTGTCCTAAGGTATTAGAAAAGCCAAGAGAGCGTGTAGGGGTAGAATGATGAGCATAAATTAAGCGTTCCAGTCATAGTGAACGAAATAAAGATGTGTAAGTTCACGGCAACTGGTTCTTCACTCTATGCTATTTCAGCTTATAAAGGTTTCATAGCAATGCTCTATTTTCTGAGAGCGGGGGAAACATGCACAGTGAAATGGGTCTGCAGCAAACGTAGCCAAAAAACGAAAGGGTTTTAGATTACTGATTTCCAAGAGATCTTCTACCTAAAGGGGAGTTCCAGGAACAGCCTCAGCACTTGGCTCAGGAACTCTTACAGGACCCTGAGTAAAGTTTTTACAGACAGCTTTTCTGTACTTATTCACATAGTCTTCATGGCCCATTATTCCAATTATGACATCCCTTATTAGAAGATGGGATGGAAAATAACATAATTAGAGCAGTATCTTGTGTTCTCACTTAATTTGAGATTTATGTTAGATTTAAATTCAGATCCATTTGCATCCACTGCTATAGCAGTCAACAAAAACAAACTCAGATACCACACCCTTTTATGACTTTATGAAAGTAATACATAAACACTGAAGCAATAAAAAACATTTCTCGAGGTTTAACTTTATTATTTTCATTTAAGAAGAGTATTTCGTCCTTTCACTTGATAGAGAAAACAAATGATGTTCAAGTTCTCCTTATAAATCACTCCATCAACCTGTTAAATAAAAATATATTTTAAATTTGGAAAGTAAAAGAAATCTGGTGAGGAGATTTGCATTTATGAAGCAGCAGTTGGGATTAATGTTTCATCCACATTTGTGAGTACCCACTGCATTTCAAGAAGACCTGTGTGGTGTAGTCAAAGGCAAGTCCCTGATGGTTATGTAGATGCCATCATAGCTAGAAGAGATGACTATTACACATAAAACTAATTTAAAAAGACCATACACTGCTATGTAATTAGGAACTGAGTTTGTGGCTCTGGATCCTATAGAAATTCAGAAAAAAAAAGAGAAAAGCCGAACAGAGTTTGAGCAGTGTTGGGGCTCTATTGCTTGGGAAAATGAGGACCTGGGTTAGGTACTAAAGAATGGGTACCACGTGGTTCATCGGGAGTGTAGGGCATTCCAGGAAGAAATGGCATGAGCAAAGGGAGAGATGGGAAGGAATCTGGTTTATACTCATGAGGACTGTAAAACTCTGATCCTGGTTTGGGGGTGGGTGAAGAATTGGTGTGGGAAATAAAGCTAGACCAGTAGGGTGATCACCTGCAGGTCGTATATAGTAGTTATAAATATTACACCAAAGAGAGGACACTGAATATTCTAAGTGCAGAGAACCTCCAAATGCCATGAAAGCTGCTTTTGGGGGAAAAAAGTCAACACCCCAAATTCTCTACCGCTGACATTCTTTATTCCCCTTATTCTGTTATTTTCTTCCATATACCTATCCCCATCTGACATACTACATATTTACTTGATAACTTGTTTAGCATATGTCTCTCCCCAGTGGGCTGTGAGCTCTGTACAAGCCAGGACTACAGTGCTTTATTCCCAGGGTCTAGAAAAGCACTTGAGAATGGAGCACTCATTAAAAATGTATAGACTGGATTAACACAAAAGCTGAAAGAAAAGTTACTGAGATAACTCTGTGTGTGTGATTATACAATCCACTATAGACCATCTAGAAAGGATTGCATTTAGAAAAAACTACGGCAAAAGTCAGTGGCATGAAATTAAACTTTGGGATTCATAGTCATAATTTCAGTCACTTTATCCTTTGTGAAGGCTCTTCAGAGAGTTGCCTGTGGTTCAGGGCAGGTGATGTGGATATCTATAAATAATGGTGTGGAATGACTTAGGAGACCACTGGAAGCTTCCCTGGGCCAATTCCTTACAAAATAAAGACCTATCAGCCATCACACAAATTGCTGCAAGACAATATCTTTTATTTTATTTTATTAATT